AATTCGCATGTAAGCCCGATTCAAACGGTAATCGGTAAGAGCATGTCAAATCCGTTGAGGGCTGAGGATTTGCCAAAAATCCTAAGTCAGCGTCTCATACACGTTGCTCTTTAGTCTTTTCACAGGAGAAAGACGAAGTCTACGTATTCAATATCGTAGCACTAAAAGGGTTAACTCTTTTAGCTTAACGTCACATGCGAAACGGACTTAAACAATCCGCATGCTAGCCCGACTCAAACGGTAGTCGGTAAAGGCGCATCAAACCCGTTGATGGCTGGGGATTTGCCAAAAATCCTATAAATACGAGAGTCACTGACGCATCAGCTCCATTAGTTAGTCTCGTGACTTGAGCATCCCCACGCTCCAATTCCTTAAGAGCTTAAACTGTGTATACTCCAGAAAACGTACGAGTATAAACTGTGTCGAACGCCGGACAACGCGTCGCAATGAAGCTTAGACGCCGGACAACGCGTTGTAAACGAAGATTCAACACCGACAATCGATGGTCAGTTCTGTGTTGAAACAGCGAACTCGAGCTGAAAAGTCAGGAAATCAAGAATCGACTTCAAGTTCAAAATTCCGACAGACGGTCAGACAATAAATGCAGCACCGGAACCCTTACAGATATTCGACAAAGCACCGAATAGCCTGGAGGACTGAAGGAATCAAGAATAAAGCCATTCCAATATCCGCGTCGTTACGATTGAAGGACAAGGACACAATCATATCCAAAGTATTCCAGACTCTTCTATAAATGAACGAGGCTGAAATAACTTTGGAAGGGGGTAATCTGTAGGCAATATAAATTGGCCATGTAGGCCTTTAACGCAGCTTCGACGACAAAACGAGAACTCAATCGGCGACATATTCGCAAACACGAGTCATCAACCATAGAACGGATTTGAACTCAACATCCGAGCGGATTTACTGCCATAATTGGGATTCGGACTGTCAAAGATCAGAGTGAACGGATCAACAACGAAGCGGGTTTACTCGCCAAATCAAGGATTCAGATCACAAATCAGAGTCCTTAAATCAACCACAGAGAAACACCGAAAATAAGCAGGCAAAAAACCGCACAAACAGCCTATGGGGACTCGGCCAAAACCGAGCCACCTCTAGGTGGCTCGGTGGCCGAGCCACCTATGGGTGGCTCGGCCAAGGCCGAGCCACCTATAGGTGACTCGGCCAAAGCCTAGCCACCTATAGGTGGCTAGGTGGTCGAGCCACCTATAGGTGGCCGGCCAGATCTGTGCCCGGGCACAGTTCTGAGTGCCTATAAATAGAGGGGCTTGGCTCATTTGTGAAGGGTTGGAACTTTTGGAGGCGAAGCTCTACTGGATTCAAGACTCGAAACTTAAAAAGATTGAAGCTTTGGGACTTTGAGGACTTGCTCATCCAGATCTGGTGCTCGGCGATCGTCAACGCCAAAAAAAAAGGCAGATGTTCGAGAGGACCGGATCTCAGATCTACGCAGGCGTACTCCGGATCAAAGCTTGGCCTTTGATCCCGAGATTTGGGCGACTATTTCCTTGGTGAAATAATCCCCCCCGGCTATTATTTCCTTCGTGGAATAATACCCGTCGTACTGCGTAGATCCGACCGGATCTAGATCGTGCGGTGGTCAACGGATAAACCCCGGCGCAGGCAAACAACCCACGCAAGCGAACGACCGCAAAACAGGAGCTCGTGATTTGTTCGACAAACAAGGAGAAAGTTGTAATCTTTTTTTTATTTTCTTTGATTTTCATTGTAACCGGATCTTATAAAAAGATCGGATCTTTGTAACTCAAAAAACTGTTATTCAAGATAGCAATGGAATCGATGAAGAAAGATACCATTTTTCCCGCGAACAACAACCTCTCCCTTGGCTTTACTACCGACGCCACTCCTCTTGGAATCGACCCTGTCTCTCACCACACACTTCTCTTGGTGTCCTTGTGTATTACAATGTGATTTCTCGATAATTAGACACAAATAAAAGGGTTTGTTCTCTGACAAGAATGATAACGAAATTAAGCTCACACTCAATGAATCACTCACCACAATCCAAATTATACTTAATGTGAAATACTAAAAGCTCAATAGGTTATGTGTGCAATCAATGAGTAAAATGAAAACTAAATTTGAATCAATCTAGCACAAATATATATGAATCAAAATATGAATAAGCTAGAAGATAAGTTTAGAAAAACTTCTCTATAAACAAAGAAAATTTGAGATTTGAAGATGAATGCCCAAGACCGAAATTTATCTCCTTCTCTTTGTGAAAACTTCTTCACATAAACAAACCAAACTTTTGATCTTTTAAACTTGGAAATAAACTGCCCAATACACTTGTAAAAACCCTTCAAAAACTCTACCAAAGAACCAAGGTAAGAGGGGTATATATAGCCCCAAAAATTTAGCTCACAAAAACTAGTCGTTGGCTGGAAATACACTCTCAGTCAACTAATAAAAAGGATGAGTCGGCTGATAAACTAGTCGTTGGAACAGTGTTGACAGATTTTGGAAATTTTGCGTATATGGCTTTCTAAAATCGATTAAAAATAGTAAATCAACTCAAAAAATCATAAAATTTTGAGAGACGTTTCTAAACATGTAGATAAATATGTTAGAGAAAGAATTTCTGAAATATCACTTCCCAAAGTATTCAGGGTAATTTCCTTCCAAATTTGCCCTTGGAAGTCCAGCATAGTTAGGGTAATTTTCTTCCAAAGTTACCCTTGGGAATTCAACTATAATTCAACTACGAGCTCCTGACAAAGATGATCAGTTCAGCGTCAACTCAATAACATGAGAAAATTCAACCTTTCAAATATCAACACATCAGCTTCAGTTCCTAATTTCAATATATGGTCAGCGACGTCGCATTACCAGAAGTTAAGAAACTGAAGCAACTCATTGGTCCTTCTACAGAGTCCAACGTTGGACAAAAGCAGAGCCTATCTTGTCCAAAGTGTTTCAGACTCCTCGATAAAATACTAGGAGGCTGAAAACTTTGGAGGGGGTATCTGTAGCCATCAAAATTTTCCTAAGGGTCCCAAACTCAGCCTAAGTCAGAGAGAAGACGAAGAATGTCATCATCTAAGTTAGAAGAGACCAACCAACACAAAGGTAAGCAAAGGAGGATACAAAACACTAAGCTAAAGGAGACTTGGCTGTCTCACTGTTTGTGAGATAGTTTCCACTGTCTCACAAACTGTGAGACAGTCTCCCAAGTTCACGTGGTGCTTTTGTGGGATTTTGTGGAGTCTACCTGGCTCCATAACCGCTTAAGGAAGTTCATTAATTGTCATGGGCAATTTCACCCTGGAAATACGCCCACTACCCATGAAAAATGTGCTATTTAACGCACTTCAAGGTAGTGGGGTGGCAGTTACAAAATCCCCTGGCACTATCTCCTTTGGCCAAGATAGTAAACACTGTCTCGCAAGCATGAGATAGTGACTAAGGGGTGTTTGCTTTCTCTTCAACGGTTATAGCTCCATACCATTATAAATACTCTCCTACACACTTGTGCAGGGTACCAAGCTGGCATTTGGCGAACTTTGAGAGCAAGAGAGAGAGAGAGTTCTTCATTCACTCTCGAACATTCTCAGAGTCTTTTGGTGTTTCCTTAAGTTCGAGCTTAGACTTCATCTTGAGAAGAGTATTTGTCTTACCTTGCTAAGACACTTACTTCGGTTCTTGTTTTCCTTGCAGAAACATTAACCTTAAGCCTTCTTCGTCTCCGACTTGAAAACGTTGCTCGGTGGTCCACGGATAACACATCCTCGGAGTTTCTGTATGTGTTACTAGGGAGCAAATTTTTATTTTCTTTGTAAAGAAGAGAGTTACACTTGTAAAGCTTGTTTTTTGTTCCCTTTCAAAAGTTTTAATGGAAGCTATAAAGGAAATTGTTCTCGAGACAAACAGGGTTGTTTGCTATGCTGCTATTGTAAGGTAACATTTGTTACATAGAGAAAACTAACCTCAAATCTGTCTTCTTGAATATCTACATTTTTATTGTAGGAAATATATTATTTCAAATCCAAATCCGGTGTTTAGTTAGTTGCAAATATTGGACATGCATTCTTTGTTGCCTGATTCACTGTTTGTTGATCTGCTATTGGAAAAGAGTGTCACTACAGGCACATCTTGTGCCACACCCTCAGCCACACTCCCCTCTCTTTGCTACAGTAACCGGGCCCACATGAGATTTATTTTTATAAATCTCATGTGGGCCCGGTTACTGTAGCAGAGAGAGGGGAGTGTGGCTGAGGGTGTGGCACAAGGTGTGCCTGTATCATTTTTGATTGGAAAAAGATCCAAGTATTTGAGTTGGAGTACGCTTAACACGTGACGTAATATTTTTCAATTAGTGCAGGGGCTTGCAGCATTTGACTGTAACAAAAGCCACAGTTCTTTTCTACAAATACAATAGCGGTTATCATTTCCAACTATCTTCTCTCCGATCAAATGTTGGAAATAAAAAGTTTGGCACTATATTTGCTATTAGAGTTTTTATCGAACTGTCCCTAGACGAGAAACTTATGCTCAAGAACCGGCTCTCACCAAAACATGCCCTGCTCAGGCCGGATTTACCTTTATATGTACACTCTAGTCAAGCTGAAAATGCACATTCTTGAGGTTTACAAAAAATCTGAAGATTTTCAACATCAACAATCCAAAACTTATAATCATCGAAAAGAGTAACCGACAAAAATCAGTGGTTTGCGTTCAGCTATTGAACTGGCATAGTAGCATCAAAATTAGGCAAATTTGCAGCAGAACAGTTTTGAGAGTTTAATGAATCTTAAATGTAAGCAAGGAAGTAAGTTAATCTAGAGCTAATCTTGTTTAGATTTATCATAACTCTATAAATTTCTATTTGAGCTTATTGCGCTTTCTGATCCTTTATTAAAATTGCACTCGTAACCAATAGTCTGCATCACCTCAATTGTAGCTGATCTTATTCGCTATGTGCATGTACAAATAAAGCAACAGGCTGTTTATAATATCATTTGAAAGTCTATTTGTCTTGAATTAGTTATTAAAACTGCAGATATTGAATAGTACATTTGAAAGTTCATCCAGAGTACAATTCTTGAATGAGACCATCAATTTGTCTACAATCAAGACGTCAGGATTCAGCAAAACATACATCAATTTCTAAAACATCAGAAAAAATAATCCTGCACATATTCCATGAATTCGATCCATTCCAACGGTCCATGGAAGTTGTCTGGCATATATGACATCTCAATACTATTCAAGGGCCTCTCTTGTGAGACGTTCCGTTAAAGCTTTTGGAAGTCCCATTACACTGTCAATCGTTCCTACCTACAAAATTGAATCAGTTTATTATTCATACAATGAAACTCCTGCTTATTTGATTTGAAGAAAATAGCTGTTAAAGGATTCAAAAAATTGCTTCCATTTCGTCTGACAAAAGAGAAATAGTTGTTAAGGATTCAAAAAATTGCTTACTAGATTTGAAGAAAATAGTTGTTTAGGATTCAAGAAACTGCTTCAAATTTCTCAGAACTACCAAGAACTTGGGGGGGTTTTCCCCAAAAAACCACCATAATCTTTTTCAAAATATCATTAACTTTCAAAACTACAGAAAAATACCATGAACTATTGAGGAAAAACAATTCTGCTTCAATAGTTTGAATAAAAAAAGGCTAAATTACCAAATTGGTATTTATAATAGACTATAAAAACCACTTTGGCATTTAAAAACGTTCCGGCGTCTTTTTGGTATTTAACGTGTGTTCAAGTGGGCAAATAGGTATAAAAACTCGTTGTTAGTGGATTTTCCAATGGGAAAATTTCTTCCACTCCCTAATCTCTTAAAGTAATTTAACTTTACACCCTTCTCCTTCATCTCCCCAAACTCCAATTTCTCCACCCTTTTACTCAATAATACTCTCCTTCAACCTCTTTTTCTCTCTCATCAATGAAGCCCTATCCTCCTTAAAGCTCAAGGATTTTGATTAACAGGATCTAAAATTTTGGGTACGAATAGGCGTAGAATCTGAGAATGAAAGAATTTGCTTTACTTGAAAACTTTAAACTGTGATAACATTATGGGCTTTGATTTGTTGAATCAAATTTGATCTTCAGTGAGATAATTATAAGATTATTTAGGATATATAAATTTCAGACATCTATGGATTCATCCCCTTCCACTTGTGTTTCGATTTGTCTTCTCAAAACCCAAGCTCTCCTCTATCTCGCAATCTCTAAATTCTAATCTAAATCCGTTATGCAATGAAACAATGTCTTTCTAAATCATTTGAGACTCATCAAAATTTATGTTTTTCTCATCTGTAA